AAGAGATTAAAATCTGCCGAAAGGCTCATTACTCGTCCCCGTTAATTAACTTGAAGAATGAGTTTAAGTACTTAACGGAGGAACTTTGTATCCGGCCATAAATTAAACTCCCTTGGACAGCGGCTTTTTATTAAAATCGTAATTATACGAAAATAGAAGAATATACATAATGCATCGAAGTGGCTAATATCGATCGTGTATCTCTTAAAGCGTCACGTAGACACCCCATAAATATCGAAAAGGATCCTCTCTTTTATGTCGACGCCGGTGAGTAGCCATAACTCCGTGAATGCAACACGGCACAATGGCGGCCATCTCGATCAAACTGCGAAACTTGACGTTCGCGATTCAACGGTGCATCGTTCGCACGCTATCAATCCAATTTATCTGTTTATCAGGGGACATTAAGAAATTCATCAGCGAACTCGTTCGATAAACGCGTCGCTCGATTCGAACGTGATGTTCTTTGGGAAACAATGGACGATGCTACTGATTGTCGAGAATATCTGCGGCGGAATTTGTTGTCCTCAGAATAGAACTGATTTGTTTGGAAAGTTCTGATATTGGGTTTGTAAATACTGCGATGTATATGGTCACATAACCTATTGGATAATACCGAACTGTAAGTTCGAAATTTCTTGGGGTAATTAAGAGTTTGAAATTTTAGTGCTGGAAGGTGTTTTTGTTTTTGTCAGAATTTTGTTGGTAAACTTAAGACTTTTTAGTTGAAGAGTTTGTGGAATTTATTTAGGATTACTATTATTACTAGTTACTAGGATTATTAGTTATTTCTATTTCTCTTATTACTACTACTACTTCTCTTATTATTATTTCTTTTACTGCCACTATTTCTCTTATTACTATTTTTCTTATTATTATTTCTCTTACTACTACTATTTCTCTTACTGCTATTATTTCTACTACTACTACTATTTCTCTTACTGCTACTATTTCTCTTACTGCTACTGTTTCTCTTACTATTTTTTTTTTTAATTGAATGTTTAAGGTCACATGCACCATCTTAGGTTATTAGTGACCACATTTTTCTATTATTAATTGTAGTATTATTGTCTGCTTCCATACGTTTATACATAATATGTATAATACTATAGATTCAATTAAAATATAATTATTTCAAATTATCGTATTAAAATTTAGTTTACATTGAACTGACAAACACATAAGGGTGCGAGAGAGAAGAACGAGGACGCTTCCTTATATGCATGTCTACGCAGGCTTGCCAATTTTAGTGGAAATGGTGATTCTCTCTAACAACTTCACTGAAATTTTTGAACTTCTAAATTTAAAAGTTTCAAATTTCTTAAGACTGAAAATTGAAAGTTTGAAATTTCTTGAACCCTGAATTTGGAAGTTTCAAATGTCTTACGTTCTAAATTTGAAAGTTCGAAATTTCTTAAATCCTAAATTTGCAAACTTGAAATTTCTCATATCTTTAATTTGAGATTTTTAAATTTCTTGAATCGTAAATTTGCAAGTTTGAAATTTCTTACATCCTAAATTTAAGAGTTTAAAATTTCTTAACCCCTAAATTTACAAGCTTGAAATTTCTTATATCTTAAATTTGAGAGTTTGAAATTTCTTGGACCCTAAATTTGCAAGCGTGAAATTTCTTATATCCTAAATTTGAAAGTTTGAAATTCTTTAAGTCCTAAATTTAAGAATTTGAAATTTCTTAAACGCTAAATTTGCAAGCTTGAAATTTCTTATATCCTAAATTTGAAAGTTTGAAATTCTTTAAGTCCTAAATTAGAGAGTTTGAAATTTCTTAAACCCTAAATTTGCAAGCGTGAAATTTCTTATATCCTAAATTTAAGAGTTTAAAATTTCTCAAGTCCTAAATTTACAAGCTTGAAATTTCTTACATCCAAAATTTGAGGGTTTAAAGTTTCTTAAATCCTAAATTTAAAAATCTAAAATTTCTTAAGCTTTAAATCTGGAAGTTTTCCATTTAAGCTCTAAATTTAAAACTATGGAATTTCTCAAACCCTAAAATTAAATCATTAAAATTTCCCTAATCCCAAATTTAGAAATATCAAATATCTCAAATCTTAAATTCGAAAACTTCAAACATCGCAAACTCTAAATACAAAAGCTTGCTATTTCCAAACCCCTAAATTCGCAACTTAAAAATATCTAAAAACAAGTAAAATCCCCATTAAAAAATATCTAAAACCAATTAAATTCTCAACAATCGCTATAATCGAAAGAATGAAATATTTCCTTGTCCGCTTTAAGATTCTGTCTTATTTTCTCCACATTTATATTATATTTTTATGATTGCATCTACCCTCGAAAAGCCCCGTCTGATGCTCCTTTGAACGCGTTTTCCATCGAAATTGAATTACTCGATCCTCGAAAGTTTTGTATTATGCTCGTCGCGAAGAAAGGTACGTCATTAAAAACGTAAAAAATAAGTGACGGAAACGTCGAACGCGGTGCTCTCAAAGTAATTCAACTTCGTCGCGGCACAAAGAAGCATACGGAATCGAGAACTTTTCCGTCTCTTGAAAAATCGTCATTCTTCGAGTCTTCAAGACTTCTGTGAGGACTGTTTAGAAATTCTAAATGTGTCGACTCTCGTATTCCCACGACGAACCTTTCTTTTAACCTTCGTCAACGTGTCCCGTTTTTAAAAATCCTTAAACGAGAAAATGTAGCTCCGTGTCTACTTTTCTTTGCTGGAAATCTTTGCAGATCTTATTTTAATCTTTCCTGTGATTTTGGAACGTATGACTCTTTCACTTAGAAACATTTATAGTTTCAATTTTTTCTTAGATTTTTTTTGTTAAAAATATTCAAGAATTTTATCTTAATTTTTCATATAATCTTCTGCAATTTTTATTTTCTCTTTGATTTAGAAACATTTATAGTTTCAATTTTTTTTTTCATTTTTTTGTTAAAAATATTCAAGAATTTTATCTTAATTTTTCATATAATTTTTTGCAATTTTTATTTTCTCCTTGATTTAGAAACATTTATAGTTTCAATTTTTTTAAATTCTTTTTTGTTAAAAATATTAAAGAATTTTATCTTAATTTTTCATATAATCTTCTGCAATTTTATGTTGAAAATATTTGAGTATGTTCTTCGTTTTCGACCTTAATTCCTTCTTAAAAATATTCTTCAATTTTACCTCAATTTTCTCTTTGATTTAGCAATATTTATAGTTTTAATTTTTTTTTATTTTCTTGTTAAAAATATTCAGGAATTTTATCTTCATTTTTTATGTACACTCCTTCTGCAATTTTATGTTGAAAATATTTTAATATGTTCTCCTCTTTAATACGTTTTGATTTGGAAACAAATATATTTTCATATATTTTGTTTATTTTTTTTACTGCAAACATTCCCGGATTTTATCTAAATTTTTCCGTTTGATGTCGAAACACATACATTTTTAATATCCCCTTAAAAATATTGAAGAATTTCACCTGAATCATTGTTGTGATTTCAAAGCGATAGTCGAAGAGAATGAGAAAGTCATCAAGAAACAATTCGACTCGAACAAGTATCGTCGATTGGCACTTTCGATAACGAGGTGTCAAAATCGGAAGAAGAGATCGATGTGTACGCGTGCTGGATTAGTCAAACACGCGAGGAAAATTCAATATTTACTCGAGCTGTCCGCGCGCGTAATCGTGTCGCAATTAAGAGCAGCGAAATTCGATTATGTACCCGCTTGGTTCTCGGCAATGGGCTGTAATTAGCAGAGGAACCCGTAGAAAACGAGTAGTGCGGTTAGAACATCTGCCAAAGTGATAACAAGCCAATTACCTTTGCGTTTTACACTCTACTCGATTCTGCAGGCTATTACGAGCGAGATATCGGCTATTGCTTCAGCATAGTTATTAACTTGTTTCTTAAATAGACCGCGATTATCCAACTAAGGTGTACCGTTTGGAAATTCTATTGTACGAATGTTCACGTCTTTCGTTTTCTTTTGTTATATTTGGAAATGTCTGGATTTGGGTGATTGGTGGTTTTGGGTATTTGTGAGTTTGGGAATTTGGGAATTTGGGGACTTGGCAGTTTTGGAGTTTGAAAGCATGGGAATTTGGAAACTTGGCAGTTTCAGAATTTGGAACCATGGGAATTTGGGAGTTTGGGAATATGGGAATTTGAGAATTTGGGAAATTTGAGAATTTGGCAATTTGAGAATTTGGGGAATTCGAGAATTTGGAAATTTGGCAAGGTGGGAATTTAAGAATTTGGCAATTTGCCAATTTGGGAAATTTGAGAATTTGGAAATTTGACGAAGTGGGAATTTGAGAATTTGGAAATTTGACAAGGTGGGAATTTGATAATTTGGAAATTTGGCAAGGTAGGAATTTGAAAATTTGGGGAATTTGAGAATTTGGGAAATTTGAGAATTTAGCAATTTGAGAAATTGACGAATTTGAGAATTTGGAAATTTGGCAAGGTAGGAATTTAAGAATTTGGCAATTTGTCAATTCGGGAAATTTGAGAATTTGGAAATTTGACAAGGTGGGAATTTGAGAATTTGGAAATTTGACAAGGTGAGAATTTGAGAATATGGAAATTTAGCAAGGTGGGAATTTGAGAATTTGGAAATTTGGCAAGGTGGAAACTTGAGAATTTGGGAATTTGACAGGGTGGAAATTTGAGAATTTGAGAATTTGGCAATGTGAAAATTGAGAAATTTAGGAATTTAGAATTGGAATAAAATTCTTAGCTCCTCACGTTCTTACATCCCTAAATAACAAATCCCCAAATCTCTAAATCCTCAAATCCCCAAATCCCTGAATTTCCAAATCCCTAAGTTCTCAAATACCCAAATCCTCAAATCTCCAAATCCTGAACTCCCCAAATCCCCAAATCTTGTCAACTCATTAAACTTACAAATACCCAATTCCGAATTTCTAAATTAAATCTATAATGTTACATAATTAAGTATGTATATAAATTTATAAGTAAGTAATATTGTACCTTTATTAAAATTATGAAATATGAATTTACAGAGGCGCATTGCTACAGCATGTTGCACGGTAGCAGCGGAAAGAATGGCAACGCACATCAGAACAGCCTGGACGACAGCAGTACACCATCAGGTCCGTACTTCGATTTGTCGAACTCGAAGAACGTGACCGCTCTTCTGGGCAAGACCACTTACTTAAACTGTCGCGTGAAGAACTTGGGCAACAGAACGGTAAGTAAACGTAAAGTTTAAAATCATTTTCTGGACAATGCGTTGCGAAATTGTTGTAAAACTACTGTTTACAGTCCCTGGCCATCGAAGACCACGTACAAAAATTTCATTTTTATGTCATATATGGAAAATTGTCTTAGGTCATGCAAAATTATTACTAAATACCTTGATAAGGATATATACACAATTTGTTACTATCGTGATAATAAATTGTGTGATGAGTGATTAAGGGTTGTGCATTTACGTTAGGAGTATCGATAGTCAGGTGAAAGAATGCCATAGAAAATGTCTGCCTACTCAAAAGACTAGTTTACAACTCTCCAACCACGTTATCTGAGTTGAAAAGAATTACAGATATTTGGGAAAATAATGAAGATATAAAGCATATGATCAATGTATACGGAGTATGCCGATACAAGCTGTCACCGCAGCAGAAGGTGGAAATACAAGATATTAACATGTGTTAATAATGTTATGTACAGTAGTAGTGTATCAAGTCAGTAGCTAACAAATTATATAATTACAATTTGAGGGCCTTTTAATTTTACAGAAGACGTGAGATGAATTTGGGGAATTCGAGAATTTGGAAATTTGGCAAGGTGGGAATTTGAGAATTTGGAGAATTTAAGAATTTGGAAATTTGGCAAGGTGGAAACTTGAGAATTGGGGAATTTGGGAATTTGGCAAGGTGGAAACTTGAGAATTGGGGAATTTGGGAATTTGACAAGGTGGAAATTTGAGAATTTGGGAATTTGAAATGCATTTGAAATGCTGAAAATTTATAGTGGTAATTCGATGGCCAGAAACTGTAAAACTACTGTTGTAATTAAATACAACACATTTTCGTCGTGAAACCACTGTCTGGCATAAAATATATTTGTAATCCAGTTCTTGTGGTCGGTTTAGGTTAAGTATCATGGACATTAGAAGTCTTGAAAAGGTAATAATTACGTTGGTCTAAAAATGTAACGTCTGTAGTGTCCCAAAAATTGCAATGATTCAAAAAAGTACATACGTCAAGGCAAAAAGATAATACTCGTCGTTTAAAAATGTAACATGGGTATCATGGAAGGGTTCAAATACATCAGTCATTTTTGTTGAAAAAAAAAAAGAAAAAAAAAATGGATTGAACAACGTAACAACACTATCTAGCTTTCAATAGGAAGACTATAAATTTAACTTTGACACAGTGAAATCTGACCCTGTCACAACACTTAAAATGTTAAAAAGTGATGGCTCAATTCAATCAATGGAAATGTCACATATATCTTCTACGTAATCCACAAAAAGTGAAAAGCATTTTTCTCTGATCTTTTTTTCGTGTGTCACTTGTACAGAAATAGAAGAATAAGCACAGTTTGATACGAAAAATGTCAATATGTTGCGAGACAGTTTAAGAGTACATTCGTGGGCATAAGTTTTCGATGAAAATAACGATATTGGGGGGACGGGAACGATTTTTGGGATAAATTGGGATTTTGGGGATTTGGGGATTTGGGGTCTTAGGGGTTTGAGGATTTAGGGTTTTAGGCATTTGGGAATTTGAAGATTAGGGGATTTAGAAATAGGGATCATTTGGGAATTTGGGACTTTAGGATGTTGTGGTTTTGGGAATTATGTGATTTGGAAGTTTGGGTAATTTGGGAATTTGGATATTTTGGGTAATTTGTGTAATTTGAGTAATTTGGATATTTTTGGTAATTTGGGTAACTTAGGGAATTTGTGTAATTTAGGAATTTGGGTAACTTGGGAATTTGGGAATTTGGGACTTTAGGATGTTGTGGTTTTGGGAATTATGTGATTTGGAAGTTTGGGTAATTTGGGAATTTGGATATTTTGGGTAATTTGTGTAATTTGAGTAATTTGGATATTTTTGGTAATTTGGGTAACTTAGGGAATTTGTGTAATTTAGGAATTTGGGTAACTTGGGAATTTGGAATTTCAAATTTTAGCAACTTGGAGATTCAGAGATTTGAAAATTTAGATGGTTTAAGTATTTGAGGTTTTAGAATTTTACGGTTTTAAGAATTTTGGAATTTGAGAGTTTGGGAATTTGGATTATTTGGAAATTTGGAATTTTGGGAATTGAAAATGTTAGATACTTGGAGATTTAGGAATTTGGGAATATGGAATTTTGAACAATTTGAAAATTGAGTGTTTTCGGAATTGGGAAATTTAACAATTCGGAATTTGAGAATTTAGGGACTTAGGTATTTGGATAATTGAAAACCTTGGAGTTTTGGAACCTTGATAGGTTGTCTATTTGAGGATTTATGTATTCAGTTATATAGGATTTTGAAAATCTAAGAACTCGCATAATTAGATAATTTGAAACTCCATAACTGTCCCCACTTAAAGACTACAAGATTTGAACATACTCTCATTTCTACATCCCAGTACTTAAATAATTAAAAATCTTGAAGATTAAAAAATTCCTAATTCAAGCTAAAAAATCCAAATACCAAAAACCTTTGAAATACAAAATTTCATAAATACAAAAGAAGGTGAAAATTCACAAATCTATATTGTTCCCTTATTTCAGTCCCCAAAGTTGAAAACTAACATATGCGAGATGTTCCCCTACACGTATCACCCCAAAAGAAGTACCCCATCCTACAGCCAAGCAAGTCACACACAATACTCCTACACAAATATAAAAATAGCAATAGATTCTGAATAAATTTAGCGTCTAACCATATAACCAGGAGAATTAATATCGATGAAAGCATCGAAGGTGGCAAAAAAACGTATGGATCTCCATCACGAAGATGGGCTAACGTGTAAACGTTTCTCCCTCCATGCTGAGTGCAGGAAAATATCGAGTGTCAATATTTTACCAGCACAATGGATCGTCACCTGTCTGTAGCAAACTGCACTGGATGCATTGAAAGTGCACTTGGGTGCTGCTGGCCTCTCTACACTTTCGTTGAACAATGTACAGCTATCTTGGCTTATGTATAGATCAACTTTCTTCCCGGTCCAGAATCTCGGACATTTATTAAGGTCGATTTATTATGGATCAGAGTGGACCCTCTCGGAATATTTCTTTGGAAAATCTTCTTGGATCAGCCACGGGATTTTGATTTATACTTTCAACGTTCGGGGAAGTGAATTTGTCTGAAGTTTGGGATTTGGTGAATTTCTGAGATGTCTGAGATTTTGTGATTTTTAGAATTTTTGCGGATTTGGGAATTTTTAGGATTTTGGTGATTTCAGGATTTGGGGGTTTTTAGGATTTGGGGGTTTTTAGGATTTGGGGGTTTTTAGAATTTTGGTGGTTTTTAGGATTTTGGGATTTTTAGGATTTTTAGAATTTTTAAGATTTTAGTATTTTCAGAATTTGGGGATTTTTAGAATTTTTAAGATCTTGGGATTTGGGAATTTTTAGAATTTTTAGGATTTTGGGATTCGGGGTTTTTAGAATTTTTAGGATTGTGGTATTTTTATGATTACTGTATTTTTTATGATTTCGGGTCGTTTAGGATTTTAGGACTCTTGGGATTTGGGGATTTTTGGAATTTATAGAATTTGAAGATTTGGGGAATTTTAGAATTTTTAGAGTTCCGAGATTTTTTACCTGTGAAACTTTGAGGTTTTGAAATTTTTCGATTTTGACATTTTAGAATTTTTGAATTTCAGGATCATTAAATTTCTAGATTTTTAAATTTTGAAATAGGGGAGCAAATTAATATTCAGATATTAATGTACATGTATTAATTCATGTGTACTAATCCACACATGTTCATATACATATATTAATGTACACATATATTAATATATACACATGAATTCACATATATTAATATACACACATGAATACACATATATTAATATACACACATGAATACATATGACTTAATGTACATACACGAATACATACATATTAATCTATTAATATTAATACATTCATATTAACGTTCACATATTGCACACATATTAATCTACAGATTCCCATGCATATGAATGTACACACATGAATGCACACATATGGATCGAACCAATGCACACAAACCAGTGCATACAAATGCATATTAATACACACGTCAGTGCATATCAACACGTATCAACATATATCAATTCGTACAAATTAACACACATTGATGCACATAAACCTACATGTAAGAACATATGTGCGTACATACTAATACGTACATAATGTCCACATACGAAAACACACATAGGAACATATACAGATACTAACACGAATATACATCAACGTCACACGAAAATTGATTAACAGGATTGTATCGCGGGTAACACTTTTTAACAGGAAAAGTGTAGGACAAGTAACAATAAATCTTTAGGAACCACGATCGTTTCATTCTAATCTGCGTAAGTTATTTTCACGGCAGAATTTATGCATGAAAATTAGATACGTGTGTAAGAGGAGCAGGGTCTCGGATCCAGGAACGTAATTCATGTAACCGTGTTTTATGAGATTTTTTTGATGCCACCTTGAAAAAGATTAGATCGTCCGAATTATTCACGGTCCGCTCCACGATTCATGCTTACCAAGACGTGTAAACTTGTTGGAAAAAGGGGAACACATCCAATTTTCTAGGCTCCTACGAATTCTGCCCTCTCCTGTATTTTATACTTCATCATCTAGAGCGGTTTGTAATTTGTCGTGATTCTGTAACAAATGTTATTCGCGTATTCGAGGGTGCTATTAATTCCATTGGAAGTTCGAATGAAATTTTATATTTGACGGTGATATTTGACTGACATTCGATATTCGGTAGGTAAAATTTATGAATTTCTAGATTCGTAATTTTGTAATTTTATAGATTCGTCGATTTATGGATGACTAAATTTATGGATTTGTAGATTTATAGATCTGTCAATTTATGAATTCGTAGATTTAGGGATTTGTCTCTTTGTCAGGTTGCCGATTTGTAGATTTATCGATTTGTCAAATTGTCAATTTGTCAATTTGTCAATTTGTCAATTTGTCAATTTGTCAATTTGTCAATTTGTCAATTTATCAATTTGTCAACTTG